GGGGGGGGGGGGGGGGGAGACTTCCCTTTCAATCATCCAGGCTTGTCGGCTGTAATGTAATAACCTGTTTTATAGGTCGAGCTCTAACCGTAAAGAATGTACCGAGGGAATGTACATGAATCTCCCTTTAAAAGAGAAGAGAGTCCTGATTTGCAGCAATTAACTGTTTTTACTCTTTTGTTCCCTGGGACTTCGTATCTGCTTTATGGGGACCCGAAGGAGTCTCTGCCAAAAGCGCACGTATTTTTGAGTCTGTTCCACATCCTAAACCAAGATTTATATAAAATCGTGAAACACCACTATTACGACCTTTCGCCACAGGAAGGGGAAAATAGTGGCTTCATAACATCATTACACACACACACACACACACACACACACACTAAGTTTCAGTAAGAATTCTCTGTCAAACCACTACGCACAGTCTAGTATATTTTTTTTAAGAAGCAGGTGAAGGTGAAAGACGGTAAACAGTCCAAGTTACGATTTATTTTAAAGTTGTTTTTTGTTTTTTTCTTGCAAAGATGAGAAGACAGAAATCTGCCCCTGGAAGCTCATTGTCATTCAAGGACTATTTCTGCCGTTTGCCATTTGCAAGGTGGGAGAAGAGGGCGGGGCAAGAGGCAGGACATGGACTCAACTTTCATCTGTAAGCAGGGGTCACTAAACAGGGGACATTTCATTATTGCCCTTAAATTCACAGGAGCTAAGGAAGCCTGCTTGCCACCCCCGCAGGGTGGCCCTGGCTGGGTAGCTCCAGGGTTTGCTAGGTGGTGGGAGGAGAATCATCACACATTGTCCTAGAGGCTGGAAAAGATGCCCAGAAAATTCTCAATTCTCATGGTGGGAAAAATGAGGGGTACCAGATTTAGGTACCCCTGACCAGGACCTCCCCACCAGGAACCAGAGCTGGAATCCAGAAATTTCAGCCTGGGCAGGGTTTACCTTCCAGAAGGTAGCAGCTGGAACCCAGAGTCTGCTTTCACTATGGAGCCAGCACAATGTTCCAGTGTCTCTCCAGACTCTCTTGCTATAATTCTCCAACTCCCTCTCTCCTCTGTCCCTCCACAGTTTAAGGAGACTGACCTTGCTCTTTAGCAACCATATCTGGGGGCAGGGACAGTTCTTTATCAAAAAAAACAGACTTTCTGGAATACAGAAAGAAGTACATCAGTGACTGGTAGCAAAAGAAGCAGCTGGACTGGTTGACATGAGAAGGGGTGGGTTAATTAATAAAAGTTAATGATAGGATTAAAGCCAATAGCCAGCCAAGGTGAGTAGAGGAGAGGGCTTCCCATCCGGCTTTATTTAATTAGCAGCAATTAATACATTTTTCTGCTAATATCCTTTAGGACTCTCAATGACTTGTTCTCAATGAAAGAGAATGGAGATGAAGCTCAGGAACATTTACAAACACCCAGGGCATTTTGCTCTGATGACAGGAGAGATTGAAAATTCATTTAAGAAAATGTTCATAAACAAATGACAGGCACTTTCTGAGGATGCCTTGGTGGAAACAATGATGAAACTGACAAACGTTCTCTGCTTGGGGGAGGGGCACCTTTTTTTAAAAGGACGATAATGCTTTAGGAGAGAGGGGGGAAAGACAGGTTTAAAAAGAAAGAAAGAAAAAGAATTATTTCAGACACTAGGCAGCGGCAGATGTAGAAGCCCTTGCAAACACATCAGCCCTCCACATATTGAAGATTTGGACACGTAATGCTTCAGACCACTGATTTGCTATTTTCTTAATTCCCGCTCTCCTTTTTCCATATGAATCAAACAGTCTTTTGTCCTTCAGGGTTTGATTTGATCGCTACTGTTCACATTTCACTTTTGTATTTTCCTCTTCCTATACCATTACTCATTGAGTGCCCTGTGAAATTACAATCGTACATTTTCAACTCAGCAACCCATTTGCAGTACAAAAATAGGGTCTAAATAATGGCTGAATTAGCCCTACTGGACAGTTTCAGATGTAACACTCTGTAATAATTATATTGCAGGCTGGATTAGGATGCTATTATCATAATCTGGACGTTTACAATTATCTGTAATTTGCAAAGATGCGCCAGGTCTTGATTACAGCAGTTTTTTTTTTTTTTTTGTATCACGCTAACCATCACTAAACAGTGACAGTAATAACAGCTAATTTTGCTGGCAATATAAGAGGTGCTGGGGTGTGCAAACAATTTCACACCTGGATGTGCTCACTCAACCAAGAATATAGAGAAAGAGCTTCTGCCCTGAGACTCAGAAAAATATTCTCCTCTGCTTCTGTTCAGTATAGATTTCTAGACCCTGATCATTGCTTAAGAGGGATTCACTGGGGGTAAGTTTTTCTTTCTTGCATACTACAAGACACAGCTCATATTTCTATTCTCACACAAAGCTGTATGTATTGCTGTTGTGATTTGTTATGGACTGCAACTTTGCTCTAGAGATGGTTTTCATTTCTGACCTTTTATTCCACTTTAACAGTAAAAGGGTTGTGGTTCTGGTGAGTACAATGATTTGGGTGAGAAGGGGATCCTTAAGAAGTCGATCTGTCTCTCTTGCTTTCTGTGCTGTTGATATTTGGTGCAGCTTGTGACTGGAGGCTGGGACGTGCATCAGGTTTCTATAAGGTATGAAGGGAAGTCTGCTAGAGGTTCCAGGCTGAAATAGACTTTGAAACATTGTTACTCAAAACGAGTCCTAGACAAATCCATGGAGGTCTTACACCTGGTGATGGTTTTAAGTTTGGGGGCGTTGAGTGTGCAAACGGAGCTGGATAGGGACAAATGCCCCTTTAGCATCACAGGTATGCGGACTTAGCAACGGCAGGTGTCCTCTGAATCTTTCCGACTTTATAGCCCCTTTGACGCCTTCCTATATTGGGGAGAAAGTTTCTGGAATAACTGGCCTCCAAAACCACTTTAGGGCTGCTTTCCAGCGTCTTTGCCTCAAGCTGGGGGCGGGGGAGGGGGGAAGGTGTCGGATGCTGACCAGAGAGCTGTGGCCTGAGAGGCCCCAATGCCGAGACCTTGGGATTGGAGGGGCGCGATTGGCCAAGATGCAGAGTGGAGCCAGGGAACCCGTTTGATTTAGCGACTTGCCAAGGAAGACTGTCGCAGACACGGTGCAGTTCTATCTATAGATGACGCTGTTTCCTGACCCTGTAGATGCTGGAAGCAGCTAGAGACTTTACGGGTAGGAGCCTGAGAAATTTTTGTTTCCCTCACCTCAGCACAGAAACAGAAAGGCCTTTCTCCGGAGGAACGTTTGTGCTAAATTATGTCGGAAAATAAATGAGATGCTTATTGGCACTGAGAAGAAATTTCCCCCTTCTCTCTCACTCTTCGAAACTATTGTTCCTTTTTTTTTTTTAACTTAAAAAAATATTGTCAGAAGGAGGCTCTAGAACTCGAACTCTGGGAAGTTCCAACGTGGGGAGGCGTAGTAGGCACTGAGACTTCACCCACGCCCCTCCTACCAATCCCCCTCTGGGGAATCAGTTTACTATGGGGTCAATACCTTCTAAAGAGTGAAAATTATTAACCCTTGCAGTTCAGAGGACCCAGAGGAAGCCCATCTCCAATGCCAGTTCCTGGGAGGACCCCTTGATAGAACTTCCTGTTTAATTAAATGTGTATTAAGAGATAGAAAGATCCACACTGGAGCATCATGGTAACATCTCCAATGTGTTAAAATGCATTTTCTGGGTTTCAGAATTCCATGCACTCTCAGTGGTTTGGCATGTGTCTGGTGATTTTTTTTTTTTAAACAAAAATCAGTGTTGGTTTCGATGTATGGTAGCTTTCTCGCTAACGTAATTTGAATAATTCAGCAAAGCCCCACTACCAGCTGTACTTCTGTAGGCTCTTCCATTCTTTTCAGCATTATAATTTTGGTTAATTTTCAATTTTAGGTCCTACGTCTCTGCAATTTGTGTATGAATAACAGAATAATTTCCCTCTTTTGTTTCGCCTTTCCTGTTCCTGAATCTAAATAAAGATGGCTTTTTAGTATTAAAAGTGGAAGAAAATTACAGGTAATTATCTTTGACGGTAAAAACGCTGTAATCAGCGGGCTACATGAAAAATTACTCTAATTATGGCTGCATTTAAGAGAATGGAAAAAAACCTTCTTGTGGATAAAAACCTTAAATTGTCCCCAATGTCTGCTTCAAATTGGATGGCACTGCAGCTGGAGGCTTTGTTCAGAATTGATCCTGGGGAGCTACGAACCCAAAGTTTCACAGTAGGAAGGGGGAAAAAAGAAAAGAAAACATTTTTCCTAATGTAACAATACGAATGCTAGAAAATGACAAGACTGATCGGTTTTAAACCATTCTGAAGACTGACTGAGCGTGGAAGTTGCTCAACAAAAAAAGGAACGGGTATATTGGTAAGTAGTCTTTGCTTTGTGTCTAATTATAGTGACTGTCCTTTTGCACAACTGTATGTCGCTGTCATTATATGGAGCACTCTGAGTATCTCTATTGACTTCTGATAAATGGCTCAGTGGTTTCAAGGTTCATAATTTGAAGGATGCCCAGGTCTGTAGCCATTAATTCTCGCAGTATGGGGCTTCCTGCTTGCATGACGAAAGGACTTTTCATTTTCATTATTTCTGTGCTTTCTACAAGATCAGAAGGAAGGATGTATTTCATCCAGGATTGTGTGTTTTCCTATCTAGTTAGCTTGTAAAGGGTTGTAAACGTGAAGTAGTCATAATTGTGCATTTAGTTTCTGTTTTTTTTTTCCCTCTGATTCTTTCCTTTTTTTTGTTAAAAAAAAAAAGCTGCTTCCAAACAAAGACAAATACAGCTGTATTATTTTGGCTGAGGAAAGGGAAAGGAGAATACTCAGTTTCAGCACTGGAAACTACTGGATGTCTAGAGGTTAACCTGGGGTTAGATCATTCTAATGATTCTTAGAAATAGATAAATGTGTAGAAATTACAATAAAATAGAATATATAAAGGAAGTTGAGAAAACATCTATGGTTAATGTTAAAGCACTTCAGACAAAGGTTAGTGCTGCAAACTGATATCTTTGCAGGCACTTGATGTTTATATATAGGGTTTCCCATATTAGGAAATAGGAATTCTTTTAAGAGTGATAGAAAATATACTGGGGGGGGGGGGAGGAAGAAGGGGGTGGTAAGACAGAGACACACAAAGAGAAATATACAGGACACTCTCAGCGTTTTGTGGCTTTTACTCCATATATGAAAGAAGACAAAAACATACAAAGTATATGTACAACTAAAATTCAACAATATATACAGAAATGTTTCTTGATATAAATGTCCCTATTAGCTTAGTGAATGCCACCAATTCACCTAGTAAAGATATCAAAGCAATAGAATGGTGATTTTGGTTGTTTCCTCTGTCTTTCCTGATTCCAGTTCAGGGTTTGGGGGTAGGGGTGGAGGGAAAGTGGTTTTGTTTTGTTTAAATCATCATTCGTGCTCATTGCATTTTGATAAAACATGCAGCATTCCTTTCGTGGCAATGTTCTAATCTTACAGCCGAATTTTCCTTTTTCTTTAGAGAAGGGCTGTTATGTCAGGGTTTCTTTTTCTTTTCTGTCCTTTCTTTCTTTCTTTCTTTTTTTGTCAGTCTGGGATTGTAAATAAAAATGCAGGAGTCCAAACTGCTTCTTTTTCATCATGTAATGTCTTAAGCTCATTAAACAAGTAAAAACGCTGCCATGTTTGCACAGATTCTTCTGGTGGGGGAAAATATCTGCTTTAAAAAGTCGTTTTGATGGATACTCCCAAAGAGAAAAAGAGGCTCAGAGCCTGGATCCCAAGGGGTGAGGGAAAATATCCTTACAGTGAGAGGCTTCAGGAGCACTGGCCTAGAAACCAGTCTCTCTCTCTCTCTTTCTCCTTCTCTCTCTCTAAGATTCAAAATCAATTACTGAGGCTGCTCAAGGGAAAAGGCAGATGGGGAAAGGAATTTTAAAAAGAAAAGTGGGAAGAAGGGAGGCAAAAAAAAAAAAAAAAAGGAAGAGTGTGAGAGAGACCGAGGGGATGGGAGAGGAGAGAGAAGGGAACAAGCGCCCAGACAGTCTGGCCACACATAAAGAGTTCTCCCGAGCCTGCTCCTTCGGCTCGGTTTGGCAGATGCAAGCAGGTCCCGGATCCTCCTTGCCTTGTTCAGACGTCTCCCTAGGGTATCTTTTGCCCTCGGATAACTCACATCATCTGTGGTCTCTGCATCGTGTCCTGGTGTGGAGAGGAGTACCAATGCGAGTAGCCTGGCATGTAGCTGTTGGGGGGCATGCTGACGCCCTTGGCCGAGGCAGAAACGTCCCACACCGGAGGCAGCGCCGGCGAGCGCGGCGACAGGGCCGCGGAGCCCGGGAGAGGGTCGCTCTCGTGCGGGTTACTGCCCTGCTTCAGCAGTTTCTTAAACTTAGAGCGTTTGTTCTGAAACCATATCTTCACCTAGAAAGAAACGTAGCAGCGATCGTTAGGCCCGAAAAACATCGAACCGGTGCCTAGAGTGAAAAAAAAGACAACCCGCAAACGAGAAGCGCTCAAGACCCCGCCTTCCTCCACCTCTTTCTAGCCGCTCCCCTCTCCCCGTTACTCCACCCCACCCCACCCTACCCCCGCCGATTACTTGGTATCTTGTCCGGATACCTAAAGTCATTGTAACTCCTCAGTTAGATGGAAGCCTAGGTTTGAAACAACAGCATAAGTAAGAATAAAACTAGAATAAAGGCCAAGGAGACAGCCAGGTTCAAACTCTAAAGGAGGATTTTTACACAGTGAATTTTTCAGATTAAAGCTAACTGGATGCACTTCCTCTAATAGTCTGGATGTGCCCTGAGCAAATGACTAAGAACAGATTAAAACCCAAATGCGTTGAATATATACATACATAGGCGTACACTGCATATGCCACCCACCGTACATGGAGCACCTTTCTTCTGACATAATCCTGCAGCGATGAGGGACTGTGCCTCATTCATGCCCTACTTGGTATGTTGTTTAGTTAAATTGCAGTCATGATTGTTAGGGCAGGTACTAAAAGTCAAAGGGCTCCTGAGTATTAAATGTGAACCAGGAGTCTAGGATGGGAGCGTATGCAAACTAACGTCCCAGACCTACTTTATGTGAAGAAGGACCTTCTATGGTACAGCTTCGTTTACCTTTAAAATTACTTAGCCTTAGGAATCTGCTTTTCCAAAAGGAGTATACGTTACTGAATAGCAGGAATCCCTTCATCTCAAATCCCAAATATTTCCAGTGGCAACATGGCGAGAGAAAGCAGGCTGAATTGAAAAGAAAGAGCTTAAGGAGCATCTGTGCTGAGACGTTCAGTCTCGGTCTCAGCACACAGTCTTAGAAACCTGATGTCCCCTTGCTGGAGAGCATCCATTTCAGATGAGGCCTACCACCCCATGCAGCCAAGTTAATCAACAGGGACAAAAACCTCAGGTGTCTGCAGCCTGGCTCTATGACAAGGGTCCTAACATACCTACCTTAAACCTCTTCCTGTGAAGTCTAAAATGCCCCACATGTCTTTCAAATTAGTAAGACCGGAGAACTTCAGCAACTGTACTTAACCGAGGCTTCGTTTCTCTTCATCTCCGGCTCTGCCATTATGCCCAAATTCTGTGATCCAGGGAGGTACCTTAGCCTGCACCAGCCAGTCAACCAGAATGATTTAACCAACTGAACTGAGGACAATTTTCAGACAGACTCACCTCACCCATCTTAGGATGAACAGTTTTCACCTTGGTCGCTTTACCAAATCCTATTGGAACCTGTGCATGTCTGGCTAACCCATCCTTTTCACTTCATAATTCTTTCAATGTGAATGAGTTGAAATCCTCATTAAGTCCCAGGGCCCACAAAAGGATCCTAAAGAAACACGGGTCTTATGCTGCCCTCCTGGTCTGAACATCTTTTTCTCTTTCTGCTACTTGTTTGCTCTTTTGTGTTGTTCTACTGGAATAGGACTCGATTAAATAACGAGTTTGATCACCGAAGGACACTAGGCTGGGGTGGGGTTGCTGAGGGTCGGGAGCGGGGGGGATGTGCAAATCCAATCCAGTATTCAATACCAGGTCATTTATTCCAAACTGTGTTGTCCCAGAAAAGTGCATAACTGGAGCAAAGGCATTTGTCATTAAGCTCCTTCCATCTTTGGTTGACTAGGCCAAGAATTCATCCTGATGAGCTCCCTGCCCGATCTGCAAGTGAGGGTCAGCATTTCAGGGCTTCTCTGGAATTACCTGTGTTTGTGTCAGTCCTAAGGAAGCTGCCAGTTCAGCTCTCTCAGGAAGGGCCAGGTACTGAGTCTGCTGAAAGCGATGGTTTAAAGCCTGGAGCTGCAGGCTGGAATAAATGGTCCGAGGCTTCCGAATCTTTTTCCCTTTTCCATTGAACCTGATTTCCCCGTTTTCAATCACTGTGGTTTTTTGTTGATCTGCAAGCAAAGGATACAGAGGAGTGATCACCCGTGAGGCTACTGCTGCGGTCTCCCCGAGCTTGGCCTGGCCTGTGCCGAGACTCTTCAAAGCCATGAACAGTTTCCTTGAAGCGTCCCCAAGCCACCCTGACCTCTCTGGGTTCCCAGGGCCCGGGTACTCCCGGCGGCTGCAAAAGCTTCTTTCAGACCCTGACTCTGGCTCTAATCGTGTGCTGTGGTTGGGTGCAGGGAGCGCCCCGGGCCGAGAGGCAAACAGCCTAGCTCCGCCGCAGCGGAGGCGGCGCCGGCCGCTCCCCGGGGTGCGCGGCGCCCCGGGGCGGCTGCTCTCGCCGCCGAGGAGCAGGGCCCCCTCGGCCTGGCTTTACAGTGCCTTCAGGTGTGCTTGAGCCGCCCTGGTGATTTTGCGGCCAGCTGGCTTGATGTCACTAGCTCGAAGCCCGGTGCATCAAGATACCGCGGTGTGATCGAAAATGAGTCTGCTGAGAGGGACCAAAACCCAAACAAAACACCACCCGAGGCTCAGATCAGCACCGCAGCGGGTTGAGCCTCGCGCGGCAACTTTGTCTCCCACGAGTGCTGAGCCCTGGGCTTCACTTCCACGAACAAAGGAGTAGCCGGCAGCTATCAAACACCCAAGGGAGGGGGCCCCGGGAGGGGTGGGGGTGGGAGACACCTCAAAGTCCGCGGGAGAGAGCCCAATTCTCACCAGCTTAACCAGAGCCGGAGGCCGTGCCAGCTTCCCCCCGGGTCACCGAAGCGCACCCGGCGCCCCACGCGAAGTAGGCCGCCGGCTGCCCCGATTAGGTGGTGGAGCCAAACACGCTCCCCAGTTCTAGCCCAGAAATGTCCCCGGTCCTGCCAAACGTGGGTCAAAACCCGGAGGGGACGAGAGAGGCGAAAGGGCGCCCAGCCCCTGCGGGCTGCAGAGCGCAGTGCGGGCCAGCTGGTCGGGCGAAGCCTGCGCCGCCTCGGAGGCGCGGCCCGCGCGACGCGCCGGAGACGGGGGAGCCGGGCGGGTCGAGCCGCAGGGAAGCCTAGGGTTCGACGGCGGCGGCGGCGGCTGCTGCGGCGGCGGCGGCTGCTGCTGCTGCTGCTGCCCGAACTCCATGAAGGCGGATTTGGACGAGTCCTGGCCTTCCAAGCCGTCAGCCATCGTAGTCATGGTCATCATCAAAACTTTGGGGGCTGGAGAAAGCCTTCTCCCGGGTTTCCTCCACCCTCCCCCACTTGGCAGGCGCCGCTCTCCCCTCGGCAGCCACCTTAGCTCTTGGGATCCTTGCAAAAAAAAAAAAAAATTTTAAAAAAATTAAAAAAAAAGAGAGGGGGTGGCGGTGGTTCTCCCTCTCCCTCGCTCTTCTCTAATATATATATTTTTAATATAAAGAGATATAGTGAGCGGGGCCTTGTTAACTCAAAGGGAGGAGGAAGGGGGAGGGATGGGAGAGGAGAGGGGGAGGGGGACTCTGCTCTCCCCCCTTCTGTTCCCCCCTTGGATTTTTGGGGGCTGGTGCAGTTTAAGGCAGAGATTTTAAGGTGGATTCTGCGAAAGTTGCGCGTCTGCTTTCAGACTTGATGCAGACGCCACGAGTCGAATGGTTTGTCTCCAAAGGGCAGCGCCTCCCCATTGGTCAGCCGCCCCCTGACGTCACAGGCGCACGGCTTCCACTGGTGTGCGCGCCGCTCTCCGAGTTCTTCGCCTACCTTCGGCAACTCCAATCCCTGCCCCGAGCTGCAGCCGGGGGCCGCGCGGCTCCGTGCACGGGGCCTCCGAGGAGGGAGTTGCCTCCGCCCGGCCGGTCGCCGACGCCTCCCGCCGCAGCTCGCACCCCCAAACCCGGAGCCTCCGTTCCCAATACCGCAGCCTTGGAGCTGCCTGGCAGAGGGCTGCTCTCTCGCAATCCCTCCGCACCCTAGCAGGCTGCCTGTGCTCCGAAGCAGTGCCCTCTGCATTTAAAGCAGGGGTCCCTCCCTTGACCTCCCCCGCCCCCCGCTCCCAGTCCCACTGCAGTCCCGCGGGAGCGCCCTGTCACCGTGGATTTTTCTAGACGTACTTTATTGAAACCACAAAGGGAAGAAAACCCCCACACCTGGTACCGACCCCATGGGTGGGGTGGGATGAGGGGGTAAAGAAGAAGAAAAATTATACCCTGTTCTGGCGAGGTTCTTGCTATTTCAGGCTGTATTTCCTATATAGTGAACAAAAAAGGGGGAGAAATCTCCCCCCCCCCCCCCAGAACGCAGCAGCTTCTTCTGAAAGCACATCGTTGGAGGACTGACAGTAATGCATTTTTTCCTATTGAAAACAGAAGCTACTGTAATGCTTTCAAATATATGCAAATGATACATGCGGTTAGTGGTTTGGCAAATCTTGATTACAATATAAACTACCCAAGTAAAAGTGCCTTCGTCCTAAATTTGTCTCTCGATTACAATTCCAATTGATTTTATTTTATTGTCAACATTGTTAATGATAAAAATAGAGTCGTTTTACAGTTATTTTTACTTTCTGGAAGGAGGCAATTAGAGTTCTAATCAGGAATACACAAAAATCTCCCATGATTAACTGCAGTACTTTGTTCAAATTGCTGCTATAAAATTCAGAACAATTTGCCTGTAATGATTATGGACTGGGTTTATTTTGGGAGGTGGAATAAAAGTGGATATAGCATAAATTATCCTCTAATTATACACCAGTGTCGCCTCAATTATCCTCTTATCAAAATGGTTGTCTAACTGCCGCATTTAGTTTCAATTCTCTCCTTTTTTTCTATAAAAAGAACTTCATACCTTGTTATTATTAATCCATTTATTATTTGCAAGGGGATTTATATCCGCACATCCAGGTGGTAGAACCACTTCTCTTTCAAAGATGGACTGGGGAAAGACATTAAGTTCGGAGCAGCCCAGGGCTGCGGATCTAGCTCTCTCCCTCTAGTCTCCAGACTGAGCAGTCAGAAGAGCCCCGGCGTGCTGCTCAGGCCCGGCCACCAGGTAGGAGAGCTGGACTGGGGATCGGGCGCCGTGGAGGGCAGGCTGGGTCGTGCCTGGGTCAGGGTCCTGGGACCTCGGGGAGACTCCGGGAGTCGGCACTGCTAGTGGACCGGGGCTGGGTGGGCAAGGCATGCAGACCCCTATGGGCTCGGCGCCAACTTTTAGTCTGAGAATAGATCCAAGCCCCAAGCCTTTGGCCACACCAAGAAACATACAATTAACAACTCCGGGCCAACGTGTCTAGAGGTGGTGGGGACATTGTAGGTCTGTCTTTGGGAAAACTGCGCGAGCCTTCTTTGCACCCTACTCGCGTGAACTCCATAGGATGGATGACTCAAGGGACCTGAGAAATGGAGAATTTAGTGGTGCCGTTCATTCGGTAACTTCAGGAAAGGTGACTGCGGACCCGCAGCTCCAACTCACTGCGCAGACCGATCGCGGCTTATGCTAATTGATTTCCCCAGCTCCCAGCCCTGGGTCTCAAGGCAGGGTTAGACTAGTTTGTCTTTTTCTTTTTCTTTCTTTCCTTCCTTCCTTCCTCCATCTTATCAGATGACCTGAAACTGGCTGCCCGAGAGTTTTCCAAGGTTCTCCGGGCAGCAGCGTTTAGTCGCCTCTCCCCCCCTCTGTCCTAGCCTGCCGCGCTTAACTTTTGGAGTCCTGGGAGCCGGTTCAGTAACTCTGAATTCATTTTTAAGTGGTCTGCCTGGTTCCCCTCGTTTTAACAAGAGGTTCGCTTTAACACTCGAACCCGTAACCCGATCCACGCGTTTACAAATCGGCAATGAATTAAAACAACAACAAAAAAGCTTCAAGGAAAATGAAAGGTGGGCTGGGTGAGGGGGAGATGTGTGTAGCGTGTGCGTCTGTGGGGGATTGCGGTGGAGAAGGGAAAGTCAGAGAAAGAGAAGGTCTTCTCGTCCCTCCCGTGGGGTGTGCACGGCGCACCCGGGCGGCGCGCCGAGCTTGTTTGTAAGGTCCTCAAGGCCAGCAGGTAGACGCGGCAGTTTTATTGCTCTATACCCTGCAGCTTGCTGTTAACACGGCGAAGGCCCCCCTGCCGGCCCCCGCCCACGTGCAAGTGCGTTTCTTTCTGGTCGCAGGTGCTCTGCCTTCCTCGCCGGCTTCCCCCGACTCTGGCGGCACCTGGGGCCGTGCGGGTGGTGGCCGGCCCGTCAAGGTCCCCTCACTGGGCACCAGATCCAGAGCATAGTACCTCTATTGGCAAAGGATTTCTTCTCTTTTTTTCCTGTTTGCTTAATACCCGAGAAAGCACTGGGAGGGCTGGAAATGTCTGCGTAGTAGCTACAGGGCTCTTATCCCTCCCCCATTAGAGGATAAAATCTCAACCCTGTGTCCCAGAGGAGCAAGTGTGCAAGTGCCCCGAGGTGGCAGTTTTTGCGTAAAGACCTGCTGAGCGGCCCAGAGTGGGCTCAGACAGCCCCGGGCTGGGGAGCGGAGCCAACGATGAGGGGACCAACCCGGCATCGTTGATAGGGGTCTCTAAGCACGTTGATAGGGGTAGAATCCGAACTGCAGACTTGAGCACTGGGCTTTCCAGCTGGTCCTGGGAAGCGCTCATGTGGCCCCACATAGCGTGCCAAGGTGGCCCGCGCCGAGAGGCTGCCACGTGTGGTCTCTGCCATCCGTCTCTGTGCAAGGAGTTAGGGGCTCAGTGGCTGCCCACAGTCTCTTCTCTCCAAATCAACCAGGCTAAGTCCTTCGCCCAGTAGTGAGCGGCAGTAGTGAGCTAAGGCTTGTCACCCCTGGTTTGTTCCCGACCAGCCGGCACCTCCAGCCCATCCTCGAGAGTCAAGAACTCCCAGATTCCTCAGGGCTTCCAAGCGAAGGCGCCCACTTCAGGGGCTCCAGGCTCCTGCGCCCTGCTGGCCGCCAGCCGGGTCCTGGCTCAGACCTCTTTGTCTTGCCGGCTGCTGGGGAACCCGAGCCAACCCTGGGGGAGTGGTGGGAGGAGGAGTGCAGGTGAGGCCCAAGAAGTCTTTATCATTCAAAATAGAAGTAATAGAAGTAAAGCTGGTGATCTGGAGACCTCAGGCTCTTTTAGGGCCTATAGGAGGTGAGGGTCACATTCACTGAAAAGTTTTAAGAGGCAGGGTTGGAGGCCTAAGCTGCCTTTTGCTTTTTAAGACACCGAGGTGTTGGGGCTTGTATTCTGGCTGTCAGCGTTATTTAGAGAGGAATACCAGCTGATTGCCAGCGCAGGGCCCTGTGTGGGGGTCAGCATGCCCAAGGCCACCGGGGGAGGAGGGTGCTCTTTGGGTGGGAAAGCCCCCTGCTGTTCTATCTATGGACCAGTGTTTGCAGCAGGTCAAGGAGTAGATTGGGTACCAGTGGCGGGTTTGCAGCCTCCTCAGGCTGTAGAAGTACATTCAGGCCAGGCAGGGCCTGACTGGTTTTGGTTGCTAAGTTGGGCTCAGTTATCACGTTAATTCTAAAGAAATTAGACCTGGATAAATAGCCTTTGAATTCAAAGAAATAACTCGGTATTGATTTACATGGCCGTGGTAAGAACATTGGGAGACATTGGTACGAAAAAAAAAAAAATTCTTGCTAGTCTTTTCCCCATTCAATGTAAAATGCTGTTTGTGTACATGTGTAGGAAAAGAGTGCTTCATATCCTGGAAACCCAGGCACCTTTCCCCCCTCTCCCAACACATACAGCTGGGAAAGTTTGAGGGGGGAACATGAGAGCTGCCCTTTTCCAAACTTCTTGGCCCAGGCCAGTGATGGTATCTTCAGGAGGAGTCAAAAGTATCAGACTAGTCAAGAAAGCACTGATTATTGTGGCATTGTTTTCTCTAGGGATAAAACTATAATGTCATCTTAGCACCCTCACCTCCGAGGCCTCCCCCAAAAGCAACTAAAAAGTGGTCCCTGTTTACCCCTTCCGCAAAAAGAGGCTCACTGAAGTCTGGGAACAACCTCTCTCTCATCTATCCAGGCCCGGGCCTGAGAACAGTTAGCTAGAAGACCACAGCACGGATGGCAAGGGCCGGTGACACCTGCTGGGGGCTTCACAGACTTTTTCTAGACTGTCCAGTTTGGAGACTATCAACTCAGGATGTCTCAACTTGGAGGCGCCTCTTCCAGATCTTTCTGAACCTGGTTTTCAAATTCAACTCCAGGTTTCAAATCCGACTCCAGGTTTTCAAATTCAACACCTTCTGCCTCTCCCTGACCACATTTCCAGGCTATGTGATCATCCAAAGTTTTCTTAACAGAGAGAGTCAATAGGCTGGGCCTAGTATGGATCCAGGGGGGAAAACAATACTTACTTCTGTCTTCCTCAATTTGAAGATTGTGTGCGGCCTTTCTCCCTCCTCCTTCCCTTTCTTCCTCTCTTTTATCAAGCCTAGGGCCCCACATCTCTCATACACAAATACTCTTCTTTCAGTCCAAGAAGAAAAGTCAACAATGTTTAAGCACTTATTGATAGATTAGAACTAGATGCTGTTTGTGCTGTTAGGTGCTGTTTGTAATCTGTTGATAAACCAAAGCAGAGCCCCTCATATTTGCCTTGCCGAGAATTGCAGCTGGGGAAGTGGGAAGACAGAGATGTTA